TTTGACACACTCCACACTGAAGTCCCGCAGAGAGAAAAATGCACATGCACACACACACACACACCAGAGAGTCACGCTTGTGTAAATATTGAACTTGAGTCAGCACCATCTCTTCTTCTCTGAGAGTGAGCATTTTTCCTCTGAGCTGAAAGTATCCACCTGTGTGTCCACTCATCAGAAAACCAGCGCACATCTTCTCCACCTCTCTCCTCTCTTTTGCCTTTATTTACCTGTGGAGGTGTACTTGTCTCTGCGCTGGGTTTCAAACACAACACATATGACCATTTAATGAAGGGCTCCCGATTGGCATCCAACACCCCCCCCCCCCCCCAGCACACAAATCCATTTCAAGGCTTGATAAAAAATAAAAAAAACAACATAGCTTTCTATACGTACACCTTTGTCTCAATGTTGTGGTCCTGATGTTAGAAGTGTTGATGGAATGCAAAATCTTATTTCTGACCTACAAAGCTCTTAACAACCTAGCTCCATCTTATATTTGAGATCTTATTGTTCCATATTTTCCTAACAGAGCAAGCAGAGCTCTCAGACTGCAGGCTTACTTGTGGTTCCTAGAGGTTCCAAAAGCAGAATGGAAGAAGATCTTTCAGTTAACAGGCTCCTCTCTTGTGGAACCAACTTCCAGTTTCTGTCCGTAAGGCTGACACATGATCCAGCTTTAAGACTTTATTTTTTGATAAATCCTATAGTTAGGGTTGGCTTGTTGTTCTGCTATAGGCTTAGACTACTAGAGGACAAATTGACCTCATTTTTTTTTAATGAATTGTTACAATTGAATAGTTTTCATTTGATACTATTTCTATCTTAACATGTGATTCTTGACCTGCCATTGTGTATCTGTTACTTTCAAACCCAGCAAATCAAAGCAGATGGCCGCTTGTCCTGAGTCTGGTTCTGCTAAAGGATTCTTCTTCATGAGGGAGTTTTTTCCTTTCCACTGTCGCCTTCATGCTTGCTCAAGATGAGAGTCTGTGATGAAGTTAAACTCAAATGAGATGACTTCTCTTGTGACTTGGCGCTATATAAATAAACTGAATTGAATTTAAATGTCTCTCCCATCTTTATGATATGTGATCCTGTAACTTTCAGGTGGGTTTATGAGGGTCTTTGATCATTTATTTATTCATTCAGGCATGATTGATACTTCAGGTTGAATTCTTTTGTGGCCACTCTTTTCATTGTCCTCACTGTATTTTTTGTTTTTTTCATGGAAATTGTGTTTTTCCTGTTGCAAGTGATGCATATGAACTAATTACTGACATTGTATTAAAAACCAACATTCTCATTTAGTTACACCGAGTTGTTTTTCTTTCTTCTCACAGATACATTGAAATGAGTCAAGCCTGCAGGCAAAGAGTTGTACACATTTACAGTAATCAAAGATGGTTTCTTTGTGATGTACACTTTCATTTGAGCACATTTAAATTTTAATTGCATAAAATGCATGTGCCCAAAGACAAATGTTTTTAAACAAATAGTATATTTCAAGGAATAATCATTTAAACATATCAGTGAATTATTTTAATGGATGCGGTAGCTCAGTGGTCAGTGTGGCGGTCTTGTGATTCTGAGGTTGTGAGTTCGAGCCCAGGTTGCTTCAGGAAGGGCATCCAGCGTAAAACAATGACCAAATCTTTCATTTAAGTTTGCTCGCTGTGGCAACCCCTGGAAAAAAAAAGCAGTGGCTTGTTGCAATAATGAAATTAGTTGTGATAAATCCACATTCTCTTCTCTCATTGACATGAAACACTTTTCGTGTTTCAGCCTTTTGGCCTCTATCATCCAAGTTTTTTTTGATGATTGACGGAAGTGAGAGATCATTGACTTGACCAAATATGTTCTTGATATACAGTGTATAAAAGTTCTAGAAGAAATTATCCTATTATATATTGTTGTCCCAGCAAGTCTTTGCGATGCTGAAAATTGCACATTGAAATTACAATAATGATAAATTATTAATATTTCATGCCGTCCTACTGAAGTCCCGTGTGTATGGTAATTGGCAGTTTCTGCTCTTAATTTTCAGTATTTGGGGCAAACTTCTCAAAATTTGAGAACACATTCATTTGTTTCTACATTTTTTTTTAAAATATCCAGTGTTGAAAAATGTGCATAACTGTGAAAATTATATTCTGTTCAAATTTGGACGTTTCAAACGTGTCATTAGCTCAACTTTTAGCCAGAAAAACCAAATGTTGTGAATTTTATGGACTTCAGTTTTGTTTTTGAAGCAATCAATAGCTTTTAAAGAGCACGTGATGTCAAAATGTTGTAATAAATACAAATGCTTTTTTGGAAAAATAACATGAATAACATATAGCAAAATAAATTTCAAGCTGCTGAGCTGCACAGTTGTTGAGATATTTGCATGCACAGTAACAGGAAGTGATGTCAAAGGGGAATGCCTGCATATGAACAGATCATTGCTACTATGGCTGACACAGACAGCAGCGAAGAATCTGACATTTAGATTTAGTGTCACAATCGGAGATGAAGATTATTCAGGGTTTAGATATTGTTTTAATGAACAAAAACCAGGAAGTTCCCCTTTTTAAAGAGCTCTCCTTTGATGTCACTTCCTGTTTCACTTTGGCTGCACCAAGTTTAAAGGAAAGTGTGCCAGTTATGTGACCAAATGAATAATATCATGTGCATTTAGCCAAAAATTCTTAAATATTAAAATGTTTTCTTCCATTTTTGTATTTGTAGGATGTCACAGTCACTTTAAAGTTTCCATCACTCAGTTTAATTATTAGTTTCTTGTATAAATAGAAAGTCAAAAGGCTGACTCTACTTCTACAAAGCTATTTGTCATTGTTTCTTTGGTGTTCCACATCAGCTTTCCTGAAACTTAAAACACAAAAAAAATCTTCTTGAAAACCAAATTCATAAATGTCCTGGAAAGCATGTGTATCTTTTTGATAGTTTTAATTTATTTTCTGGAAATGACCAGCTTTATTCTGACTCATGGACGAGAAACAGCTCAAGGCATGTATACAAACTATTAAATATAAAATGTCCTTTAATGGGGACTTTTAGCATCATTGCTCTTTTATGATCATTGCAATAAATGCAGGATACATCATCTTTTTTTATTATGAGTCTGTTATATCATTATATCATGCACAGTATGTTTTTATATTAATGGAGTTTGCAAAATGTACCATATTCTGAAGATATGAACTCTTCAAATCATTTCTACATCATTCATACCCTGAATCCACAAATGGTTTTACAGGTAATAATAGATCAGTTTTCACATAATACATCTCCTGTTGTGAAGGATTATCTCCTGCTATAAAATGATATCACCTAGCTGACAGGAATATTGCCCACCTGCTACAGTATAATCACACAACGGATAAGAAATCAAACTGCGGGGAGAGGTGGATTTTGAAAGTAAAATCCTCAAGACACTGCGTGTGTATGCGCGACAAATATTTGTGTGTATTCATGCTGCGTCTGGTTTTGTGTGCAAGCACTTGCGTGTGATCTCTCGTCGCAACTCGCTGATCAGTTATCACTAATCCTTCCACTCAGAGCTCTTTAACAAGTTGCCATTGTGCCGCTGACGCTTTACATGATGGAGGAACGACCTTCATGGTGAATGAAAAGAAGAGGCAGAGAGAGAGGAGGGAGAGATACAGAGGGAGGGAGATGGAGAGGGCAACACCTCCAACAATGGAGAGAAAATTGGTTTACACTAGATAGGCTTGTGATTACAGAGGGAAAGAAAATGACTTGGATTGAACAATAGGACTGATGTGGGTTTATATGTGTGTGTATGTTTGGAGGATTAGTGGGTGGGATTTAGTTGGAATGAATTGTTGGGTATGGTGTGCTGATAGTCGTTCTGTCTGCCTGTACTGTAACAGAATGTGTGTAATTCTTGGTGAAGGGTGTCTTTTTGTGCTGTGACTCCATCTAACTGTAAATGTTGGAGTCCATCACAGCCTGTAGTGCCCGTTTCCTCATCTCTTTAACACTTGTTACCTTAGATGTTGTCAAAGTGGTTTAATCTGAAGTTACCAGGAATGGATACTCAGCAAGCTGCTGATGTGAATTTTTTTTTATTTTATTTTATTTTTTTTGTGTGTGTGTGTTTGTAATCATGTATTTACATGTGCACTTCCAGAAATCATTAATTTTTTTTATACCAGAGAAGCCTAACAAATATGTCCTGGAGGCATGCTTTTTTACTGCTGAACCATAAAATAATTATTCTCAACCTGTGTTGTAATATGACTGCTTTGAAACATGTCATTCTGCAAGCTTCTTCTTTATTTCTATGTCACAGTGTAGACAAACGTATAAAACTGTTGCAGTTTTATTCATTTACAGTAGTCCTTCGCTACTTCGCGGTTCATTTTACGCAGGCTTACTCTATTGTGTTTTTTCAAAATAAGATTGGACATGACACACAATTGGCTGATTGATGGATGAGCTGCACAATCAGCATGAGATTTTTGTTTAAAATGAATTATTTTTAAATTACTTAGCACCTGCTGCACCTCTGTGCAGCCCGCACTGCAGGAGAACCTTCCTCCTGCAGCTGATCAGTTGATTTCCGTGTAACGCTGAGAAGTGGGCTGGCCAAGAGCACTTGCAGGTGGCACAGAGCAGCTGAAACAGGGAGCTGAAATCATGACATGCTGTGCTCTTTTAGAGCGTTTAGAGTTTAGAAACATTGTTTAGAATATTGCATGAGTGTGGGAAGGGTTTATAAAGCCTTTATATATAAATACTAAAATAAACTACTTACTACTTGTACTACTATTCCTACTTCGTGGTTTTTAACTTATCACTGAGCTTCAGGTTACAGATCCCTCGCGATAAACGAGGGACTACTGCATTTATTTATTTTTATTCAGTATCTCCAAGCAGTCCGATCTGAACCAGAACTAAGTTAAAAAATGACAAAAGTCAAGCTTTTACATCCTTTTCATGTGTTTTTTTTCTGTTTGTGTCTTGCCCAGCAGGAAAGCTACAACATCAGAGGTCCAGCTCCAGGGAATTCTGGGAAGACCAGTGAGGATGGGGTCCCCCATGACCGTCCCTCCAGTCTGCCAGTGAGTAATCCTGTTGCTTCCTTCCAAACACATAGCAATAATGAAACTAAAAGATGGGAACACATCATTTCTGCATCACACACCTTAACAGCTGTTTTCAGCCAAGAGTGACAGACATCACACAACCAGACATCAAAACACTAAAGAAGTTCCCTCCAACACAATATGTAATGTATTTCAATCAAGACTGCAATGTTAAGCTTTAAGCTATTTTGTCAAATCAGAATCCTGTGCTGACCCCGTGACCTGCTTCTTTGTCTGACATCTCATGGGATTTGACTGCTCATTTCAAGGCTTACATCGGTCTTCATGCCGATGGCAGAAAGGCCACATGTATCACCCTGTGGTCCATTCACTCACACGTACACCCACATGCTTAGAGAAGCATATGCATCAGGACAGACATTTCCCTCTACACACATGCAAAACCCACACAGCTTCTTAGAATTTGGGCGAGCTAAAAAACCATTAAACAGCTTGACTGGAGGAGTAATTGAGAGGAGTCTGTGTGACCAGGCTGAGCTACAGTATGAGGGTTGCTCTGGCTTTTTTTTTTTTTTTTTTTTTTGGGCTGCACTAATCATCGCTTTTCTCCCAGCAGCTTCTCCAGCACTTTCAAAAATAGAATAAATAGACATTTGCAAATGGTCACAAATATTGGCTCTGCCTGAGGTGCGTGCAGTTTAATTTACCAGACACTTTTGGAAAACAGGCCCAGGAGTGGAGGAATAAGCTGCAGAAATAATAAAAGCTAAATTAAGTGCGTGAACTCCAACTAAGTCATAAAATCCTACTTTTACTGGTGCTTTGAAAGTCTTGACTGATGGTTGACTTTTATTTGTTTCAAATAATTGCAGACTTATTGTATCTGTCATTTATCAAGGGATTCCTGTCTTTTCCTTTCTAACATACTAATAGTGTGTCATCTGCCTTATCGCCTTCTTTCTTTCATTTTCATTCTCCCACACTCTTTAGCCCCTCTCCCCTCTCCCACCCTGTCTTTCCATCTAAAGTAGCATCATGAAAGCTCTCTTCCCCTCCTGATGCTATAATGAGAAATGGCCTTGATGTATCAGTGAATCCATAGCGAGAGAACAAGACGAGGAGAGGAGCCACTGCAGTCGCGTGGGGGCCCATCTATTTGAACCACCACCACTATCAACCCATATTTCCTCATCGCTTTAATCCTGTCTTTTTTTCTTTCTTTCATTTTTTTACCCCTTGGGTTCTCTGTGTGTTTTCACATCCCGTCCAGAGGCTTGCCGAGATCCTAATCGGCAGCAAGTTTTGATGAGAAAGGCAGAGAGAGATAAAGATGGATAGATGGAAAGGGAAGCAGAGAAGGAGAGAGAAATTGCTCGGCGTTTGCCGAGCTTTTCCAGCAAGCTGTCACGGTGGAGATGTAACCCATTTCTTTTTTTTCTTCTTCTTCTTTCTCACTCTCGCGCCGGCGTTTGATGTCAGATCTAAAGCTGCTGTCATCTTTTCTCCCGTCTCCCTCTTTCTGTCAGGAGCGAGGGAGAGCGGGTCGGCGAAGTGTCATGTTTTTGTTTTGGGAAGAGTCTGCCGTGTGATGTGGCGGGAGATTTTGAAGACAGACCAAAGGGACTGCTTTGGTGACTTATCACAAGCGAGAGTCACAGTGTCCTCTCCATCTTTTAAAATCTAATTTGCTGGAGATACAAAATGACTTGTGCACTTTTAATATATGTAAGATAAAAAATATAATATAAAGTTCAGTCTTTTCTCTTTCCAGTTAAGTTTTAATAGCTCTAAATTTAAGTGTTTCTTTAAATTTTTATCCTTACAAATTTGCAAGCCTCTATTAACTTGATCTGTTTTACTAACTTTCAGTAAGAACTTCCATTTCTTTTGGTGTTTTCAGCTCGCTCAGAATATTTCTGGCCTTGCTGAATCTCTTCATCTCGATTTTTAAATCATGCGCCTGTTCAGTAGAACAGATCGACCTTAAAGTGACAAAAAATGTTCATAGGGAAATTACTTTTTCAAAAGCCTTCCTGGAAAAACCCAGTTTATTTTTGTTCCCTAAACTGTAAACCCATCGCCAACTGTTCTTGTTTGATTGTATGTGGAAATTATTAGAAATACAATTTAGCTTTCCAAGTCAAAGGTCGTAACTTTGAACAAAATTGTATTTGATCTTTTCCCTCCCGTGTTATACATCAGAAATCACTGCTTAGATTGCACAGGGACTTGATGGAATCATGCTTTTCTCGGTCGAGTGGTGCCATTTTCAAAATTGCTCTGATTTCCCCAGGATGTGTGCGATTGCAGGTCAATAAAAGTAACATGTTGGTTTGCTGGCATTGTGTTTGAGCTAGACTGTGTGATTGGCACCAGCTGCCATGTCACCTGCTGCCTTGTTATTTCCAGCTGTGTGTGGCAGCGATTATTTTTGTGTTCAGGAATAAATACAAGTGAAAGATCAGATGTTTTTTTTCTCTTTCTCTACATCAGTCTTTTGTATCTTTTGCTATAAGTTGCTATAACTAAACCACAGTGAGGTGAAGACCTTAGGTTTACAGACTTCACTTCCTCCTCAACCCATTGCCACCTCGTTCCAGTCGCTCCATGCTCCCAGCTCTCCTGTGTTCCCCTGACAGCCTGCCAAGCTGCTGCACAGCCTCCCATCCTCTGGGACATGGGAGAGGATGGCCAGCCATGTGGAAAGACAGAGTGAGATCTGGGGGTGTGGGGGCTGAGAAGGGGGCGTGAACCACTGAAGTGAAACGTGGTTATCTTTTTGTCGCTTGTTCAGGGTGAAGGATGTTGAATTCTGAAGGCTGTGAGGTTCCAGCAGTGGTGTGTTCTTCACACTAGTACATGTGCACTCTGACAAAACCTTCTTGCATGTCCTCCCAAGCTCATTTGCCCCTCCTTGACTTATTTTCCATCAGACAAAAGGCAAAATTCAGAAACATTAACTCTGTCTCTTCCTTCGCGCCTATCCACCTCTGTTTTTCTGAGCGTGAGGTCATAAATGATTGACAGGGCGCAGCTGGGGAGGCCTGCAGCCGCGCACACACCGCTCTGCGTGCACAAACGCCCATTCAGCCCATACTCTGATGTACACTCTGTCCTCTGCGAGCTGTTTCACACACTGTGTGCATGTGTGCTCTGTTAGAGCATGTCAGTCAGCCTGCCTGTGCAGTATGTGCTCTCACTCTGCCTCTTCCCACTGCTGTGTTTTATTTTAGAGTCCCCAGGCAGGCAGACAGGGCCAGCAGGCAGCACAGAGTAATGTCATCCAGCAGGGTTAGATTCAAGAGCTCACACGAGGAAAGAGAGGAGGAAAGGAAGCATAGCGTCGAGAGTTAAGAAATATGATGGATATAAAAAAGAAAGTCTTAGATGTTCTGGAAAACTGAAGAGCGCTTGTGTTATTGCTCCTTTTTTATTGATTTGTTTTGTGTAATGTCACTCTTTCCAATATTTATACATACTTAAATTAGCAGGTTGTGGAAGGTATGCAGGGAGAGAAAGAGGCCGGGGAACCCAGGGACGAGCTTATTTTCTGGACTCTGCTGCCTATTCTTAGAACAGAGAGCAGCACTAAAGGCCGCAACAGCTCCCCGCCATCGCCGCCATAGGACGACTAATCTGAAGACAGTTTTACACTCCGAGGTATACAGGATATGGTCACGCTAGACATAAACCTGCAGCCCTAATGTGCGTGGGAGGGTTTGATTCACTGTCACTGTATGAGGGAAGATCTAACACAAACTGCTCCACAGGACTTCACAATCCACTTTATGATTTGAGTTCCGTGTTCACCTTTTATGACTGCTGCATCCACACTCCTTATATGTGCACTACTGCCACCCACCCTTTATCCAGTCGTCTTATAGCATTTTGAAGTGACGCTGATCATCATTCTCCAGGCTTTGGGAAAGTTCTTTGACTAAAAATGAGTGAAATAGCACAGCTTTTTTAGTTTTTCTGACCATGTTTTGAAAATATATTTGCTTTTATCATAGACCCATGAATCATTCAAGCGTATAAAGACGCGTAGCACAAAAGATGAACCAGTGCTGTCTCCACATCTTGCCCAAAAAAACACATTTTTAATTGTGTATTTCAGCATATTTTCCAAGCAGCCTGCTGCAAAGATGACTAATTTGTTCTAATTTGTTTGGTTTTATGTCAGGAAAATGGCAGTTAATAGTTCGACAATAAATAAAAAGTGCGCTTTTACACCAATAATGTGATTCCAAGAAGCTACTGTATTTTCTGAAAATGTGGTCTGCCTTTGATTAATGCGTTTCCTTTCAAAATAAAGTTTAGAAACTGGTCAAGTGGAGGACGAAAGCAGAAGAGGCACACCTAAAACAAAGAACTACATGAGAAAAAGCGTTTCTGAATAGAAATAAAAAAGGGACTACTTTTAGATTCAACGAAACGTACACCCTGAAAGATGAGAAAACCACCTTGTTGATGAGATGCTATGACAATATGCAAAAATGTTCAAATAAATATTAGTCTTTGCTTAGATTTAAGCTAAACAAAAGCAAAAAACCCATGTCTGAAAACAGTCAGGTATAACAATTTAATTTAAATGAATCCGTCGTTGAAAGAGAAAAATGGGAAACTTCCCACCAAGACCACATTTTAAAAGGACTAGAAAGTCTGGGTCCTTTGGGAGCTAACTGTTGATGAAATGTCTCAACACAGTCTGTGTTTTCACCTCTGTTTCACCGCAGACTCAGATATTATGACACAGCAAGTCAGAAGACCTTCATACAAAATGCAGACAGGATATTTTACACTCGCATGCTGACCTGCTTTCATTTGCTCCTCATCAATCATTTAGCACACATGCAGTTTCATGTACATGCATAGTTTTCTGATCCTCAAGCGACTGGAACAAGATTTTTTTTTTAACCATTTGTTCCTATACTGCTTAAAACACAGTCATACAAGAAGTCAAATTGATCTGTCCAGGGAAATTCTTTCATCTGTACAAAGTTTTTTACTCAAAA